TTTTCTATGTTTTTCATTCTTATTTTATTTCCTTTCCTTTTCTTATTCTTTTCTTATTTATTTTTTTACCTTTTATTTTTGATTTCTTTTTTATTGTTTTCCTTGCTTCTATTTATTCTCCTTTTTCCATTTGTTTTTAAGTTTTGTATGTTTTCATTCTTATTTTATGTTTTTTTCTTTCTAATTTTCTTTTTTCTTTTTTTCCCTTTTATGTTTGCGTCTTGTACATTTGATGTTCTATTTTATCTTATCTTATCTTTTTCTCTTTGATTTATTTTTTTATTTGTTTTCTTTGTTTCTTTTCTAATTATGTTTTTCTTTGATTCATGTTTTTTATTTTTAATCTTTCTTTTTTTTTTTTTTTATTTTTCATTTTCATTCATCATTCATTTTTTATTTTATGTTTTATGAATTTATTATTATTTTCATTTTTATATTTTTACCTTTCTTTTATTTCTTTTCTTTTCTTATTACTTTTTATGATGTTCTATGTTATTTTTGTGATGTTCATGGTATACATGTGATGTTTTATGTTTTTTTATGTTTACTTGTTATACATGTGATGTTCTATGATATTTTTTTATGTTTACGTGGTATGCATATAATATTTTATGCTGTATTTTGTGATGTTCACGTAATATACATGTGATGTTCTCGTAGTATAAAGGTAATGTTCTATGATATTTTTTGATGTTCACACAATATATGTGTGGCGTTCGATGATGTATTTAGTGATGTTCACATAATATATATGTGATGTTCTATAATGTGTTAAGTGATGTTCTATGGTGTATTTAGTGATGTTCACTTAGTATACATGTGATATTCTATAATCTATTTTTGAATGTTTTGAAAATTATCCATGTGGACGTTCTTTTAAATTTTTTCTCTATTACGTATTTTATTTTTTTCTTATGCTTTGCTCTAGTTTTTTATTATTTATTTATGTTATGTATTTATTTATTTAATATTACGTATATTATAGTATCGATGTCATGAACCTAAAACTAGAATATTGTTCTTCTAAAAGCGAGAACATTTTTTCTTTCTGAAGACGGAACATTTGTTACGTGAACCTAGAACATCGATGTCTGCTCAATAAAATAAAATGTTCTATCTTTATAAGATAAATGTTCGTTAATAAAATTTTATCTAAATATATCCATATGAGATCTTCTTTTAAAGGATTTATTACAAGAAATTCGTTGATGCAATCGAAATTTAATTTGGACCTTTGGTTTATCCGTTATTACTTTTTTAGTTGGTTAAAAGTCATTTGCATGCGTGGTGACGTGGGTGAGGTGGGTGTGGGCCAGCGTGGGCTAGCATGGCAGCATCCGCTGGCGCGCAGTATACAACTGATGTTCTATGTTGTATGTTGTTTGTTGTATTTAGTGATGTTCTATGCGTGCTGATTTTTTTAGTATATATGTGATGTTCTATGGTGCTTTTTTTATGTTCACGTAATATACATATGATGTTCTATGTTGTATTTAGTGATGTTCACGTAATATATCTACGATGTTCTATAATGTATTCAGTGATGTTCTATGGTGTATTTAGTTATTTCACTTAGTACACATGTGGTGTTCTATGATGTATTTAGTGATATTCACGTAATATACAGTATATATATGATGTTCTATGATGTATTTAGTGATGTTCACGTAATATATATACGATGTTCTATAATGTATTCAGTGATGTTCTATGGTGTATTTAGTGATGTTCACTTAGTACATATGTGGTGTTCTATGATGTATTTAGTGATGTTCACATAACATATATTGTTCTATAATGTATTCAGTGATGTTATATAGTGTATTTAGTGATGTTCACTTAGCACACATGTGATGTTCTATAATATATTTTATGATTTTTTAAAAAGTACCCATGTGATATTCTTTTATTTTTTTCTATTATGTGTTTTTATTTTTTCCTCATGCTTTATGTCGGGAACCAATACTAGGGTACCCGAAGAGAAGGAGCTAATGTTCATCGACATTGATTCACCCAAGCGATCAAGTGCTTGTGACTGACTCGAATCGACCCCTAGGCGCTGCTGGCTCCGCCTCCCGAGCCGTGGCTGGGCACGAGGCTCAGCTTGCCTATCATTGGGACACGAGCTCGCCTCGGGTGACCTTTGGGTCGGGGCCCCGCCTCACCCGACCACTGGGTGCAGTTCGCCTCGCTGACCTCTGGGTCGGGGGCTCCGTCTCGCTCGGCCTCTGGGTCGGGGGCTCCGCCTCACCCGATCTCTGGGTCAGGAGCTCCGCCTCGCCCGACCCCTCAGGCGCGGCTCTCGACGGAAGCTCATACCGCCGCCAACCACTACGGGCCAGAAAGTACGACCCAAAGGTCAAACTTCTGACACCGTGCAGGGAGCGTGCACATCTCATCATGACTCGTGCCCGCGATATGTCACTTTGGGGAACTCACGACACCAATAAATGATGGACGCATGGTCACTATGCTACCTACTCTATGTACGGTCGGCCGACCGTAAGCGTTGGTCCGCCTCGTAAATCCTCCGGGGACGGATGGGACGCCACGACCCCGCTAACAACGCCAGCGTGGCATCGGCGGCGGTCAGCACCGGCCGTGAGCCATCCTTGTTACCTTCTGCGATCTGCGCGGGACTCGCATGAAGAAGAAAAAGAAAGACCAATGACCCGAGAGACTTTCGTCCCCTTGACTTTTACCCTCTCGCCTCTCTCTTCTTCTCTCTCGTAATATGCTCATCCCCTTCGACTATAAAAAGGAAGCAAGATGCCCCATGAGGGGAGCTTGAAGACGACTACACTGCGGCAATAGACACGACACATCCTATCAACACACACATACCGGAGACTTTGGATCCCGTTCCTCTCTCTCGCTTCGTTTGTAACCTCTACTACAAATTCTCGGTCTTGGTAACACGAGTAGCACCGAGGCCGGACGTAGGGACATTCAAATTAGAACTAGTATAAATCCTTGTGTCTTCCGAGTACACCATCCGGAGCGGATCATAATCTAGAAATTTACTAATCGGTAACTTTCGAAACAACAGACACTTTGCTCTTGATTTTATTATTTTTATTTATGTTATGTATGTATTTATTTTTATGTATATTATAGTACTAATTTAATGAACTTAAAACTAGAATACGGTTCTTCTAAAAAGAGAACATTTTTCTTACGAAGATGGAACATTGTTCTTTGAACCTAGAACATCGTCTCTGCTCAATAAAGAAAAGTGTTCTATCTTTACGAAATTAATGTTCGTTAATGAATTTTATCTAAGACTGTGTTTAGTTGGAGGAAAAGTTGGAATTTGGGTACTGTAGCACTTTCGTTTTTATTTGGCAAATAGTGTTCAATCATGGACTAATTAGGTTCAAAACGTTCGTCTCGCGATTTCCAACCAAAGCTGTGTAATTAGTTTTTTTTAAATACATATTCTTCGCTTCTATATGACGTATCATAAGATTCGATGTGGCGAAGATCTTGTAGCACTTTTTTTTTGAAACTGAACACACGCTAAATATGTCTATGTGAGATCTTGAAGCATTTATTATATGGAACGGTGCAATCGTACTTTAATTTGATACTCGGTTGAGTAGCTACGACTTTTGTAGTGTGTACCGCACGCAAATAAATGAAATGGATAAAATAATCTATCCGTACTCTACTCGGTCCCTCTTCCTGCGCGCCTGCTTCCCGCACGCCAGCGTGGGTTTGGCGGGAATATTCGGAGGGATAGCGGCCGGACGGCTGCTACTATTCTATTGATCGGACTCTAGCACACCACCACGTGTGGATGCCCAGCCAGTTCTACTTGGCCCTGTTTAGGGCTTGTTTAGTTTTGAGAATTTTTGGTTTTTAATTTCTTGTGTAGACTTTCGTTTGTATTTGGCAAAAATTATCTAATTATGGATTATTTAGGTTTAAAAGATTCGTCTCACGATTTTTTTCGGATAAGCGTGTGTAATTAATTTTTTTCGCTCTACATTTAAGATCACGACATGTCTCATAAGAATTCGATGTGATTGATTACTGGCGCAAAAAATTTTGGATTCTGGGGGAAACTAAACGGGGCCTTAGTTTCCTCCTAAAATGCCAAATTTTTCAAAATTCCTCGTCACATCGAATCTTTGGATGCATGCATGAAGCATTAAATATAAATAAAAAATAAAACTAATTACACAGTTTAGATAAAATCCATGAGACGAATCTTTTAAGTCTAATTAGATTATGATTGGACACTAATTACCAAATAACAATGAAAACGCTACCATGTCATTTTGCTAACAATTTCGGCAAACAAACTGGCCCTCGGAGCGCGTCGAGGCCGAGGAGCACCGTGCAGCGGCAGAGCGGCCTCGTCTCGTGAGACGCCTGTAGATTTTTAGTGCTGTGTGTTTTGTCTTTTAGAGACGATCAGAACTGAGAAACGCGTACCACAAATGGACGTGAATGTGAGTGATGGAGGCAAAGGACTATGCGGTTGTGTTTCAAAGTTTCAACTGTGTATCTGTATACTACATCACCACATGATGCGGGCGTAAATTCGTGAACTTGGTTGTTTGCTCCTCGGTATGGAGGTAAACCCTCCTCTTCTTCTTAATGAAACAACTGCTCAGGAATGGTGGCAAAAAATACAGGTGTAAACACATTCTTATCCAGCGAGAAATCAGACAAGGCGATGGGAAGAATACGAGACTAAATGGGCTGCATTCTTATCCAGCCCAGATAGCCCAAACATTATCGGCCCATTGGGAGTTCAAGCCACCAAACTACGGGACGGTCCTAGTGCAGAAGTGAGCCCCACTCTGCAGTGACGGAAGAGCGAGGGCAAAAGAGGAACTTGCGTTGAGTGAGGTGGGACTAAACCCTAGTGCGCGCACCACTCATCCGTCTCCCTTCTGAAGTTTCGGCGACGGTGTAGCGGCCGCGGCGGTGTGCTCGTGATCTCAGCCCCAGGCGCGCTCGGCTCCGGTCACCCGTCGATCCACGCAACCATGGTAAGCGAGCCTCTTCTCGTCTGGTTAAGTACGCGGATCTAGGTGCAATCGCTGTAGCGGTGGGGGTTCCTGAGAGCGTAGATTTGCGAGGAAATGTTTTTGATTGGAGCTTGTGCTCTGTGGGCTGCTACATCGCAATCGTGATTCGTCTTTCGCTGAATTAGTTGACTGTAATTCGTACTCCTGAGTTGAAGACTGAAGTGATGTGCTGGGGTAATTCTGTTGCGAATCTAATCGCGATATCAGTCTTCTAGGTGAAGATGTTTAGCTGTCATATGCAATATTTGAGATGTGCTTTTAAAACTGTGGAAGTATTGATACGGCTAGAAAGTAGAAACTACTACTTACAAAAGAGTCGGAGATGCTGATTACCTACTGCTTACGAGCTAAGAGTTAGATATGCTGATTACCTGGGGATTTGCTTGGGTTGGAAGTATTTACGAAGCTGGAAAGTCATGTTTTGCAAGGTTTATTGTTTCCCAATATACATCGTGATGCTAATCTAGTTTTAATCCTTGAAATGATTGACTTGATTAGTATACTGAGATTGATTTGCTGTTGAATGGCTTCTATCCGTTTTTTCGCTCAACACAATTTCGTAGTATAAATCCACAGACAGGCTATTTATTCATACTGCATTGTGCTCAATTAGTATGGCCTTTTGGTCCTCTTAGGCTCTTAAAATTAGAACATGAGGTGAACTCAGGTTCACTCGTTGTGCATGGTGAAATTGTTTGTGGAGACTGTCAACATGACAATAAGTTCAATCTAATCTGATAGTCATATATGTTTGCAGTCGAGGAGGAAGACCAGGGAGCCCAAGGAGGAGAACGTTACCCTTGGACCCACTGTCCGTGAAGGAGAGTTTGTCTTTGGTGTTGCTCACATCTTTGCATCCTTCAATGACACCTTCATTGTAAGTGCTGGATGTTTTTTTTTTCTGTGGATGGACCTTTTTATTCCCTTCCCCAGTTTAAATGTGATGTTGTAATATGCAGCATGTAACTGATTTGTCTGGGAGGGAAACTCTGGTTAGGATCACTGGTACCATCCTAAAACCTTGCTCCATACTTGACGTAGATGGCATCATGGCAATTGTATTTAGTTTTAACCATGGTGTTCTAAACTATGTAGGTGGCATGAAGGTCAAGGCTGATCGTGATGAGTCGTCGCCTTATGCTGCTATGCTTGCTGCTCAAGATGTTGCACAGCGTTGCAAGGTATTTGTAGTGAAGTCAAGAATTTCATTAGAGAGATTCTACTGCATTCACTCATTGGTTCATCTGTGTATCCAAAGATGATGTTTGCTTAATTAAACTGAAGCTTAGGATTATGTAGGGCTGCTTAGATTGCTGTGGCCAGATAAGTAATTTGTGAGTTGGTCTCTTGTCTTCAGGAGCTTGGTATCACTGCGCTGCACATTAAGCTTCGTGCCACTGGAGGCAACAAGACCAAGACCCTGGACCTGGTGCTCAGTCTGCTCTCAGGGCTCTTGCTCGTTCTGGGATGAAAATTGGACGCATTGGTAAGAAATCTGAATCTTGCAAGGGCAATCTGTACCGGTTTGCCCCATTTCAATGAAGTTGCGTCAGTTATCATAATCGATTACTTCATTGTTTCTGTATGTTAATGGCAACATTCGTGTTATGTGCAGAGGATGTTACCCCGGTCCCCACTGACAGCACTCGCAGAAAGGGTGGTAGGAGGGGAAGGAGGCTGTAGGCGTGTTCTCCTTGCTTTCTGCCATCTCTTGGCACTGGCCTCTGGGTAGTGTTGCTGTTTCTATGCTTGTCAAGAGGAGCTTTAATTTTGCTCTATGTCGAGGATCATTTACTGTTATTCGAATCTATGGTGTGCATGGATAATGTTTTGGTTGAGGAATTGACATTATGCTAAAAATGCATTTTCACTCTACTATAGGACCGGGCATTGGATTAATGTGCTGTTTTGATGAGTTGCAGCTGATTTTTGCTGTATGGATGAATGCTGATCAGAACTTGCTTTCTGATTACGAGTTTCAGCGTGTCAGGTTATGATAGTGTGTTAATTGTGTCGAGAATTAGTTTCTAAAGATGTGGATGTTTGCCTGCCTGCTATTTGCCACAGGCAGAGAGGCAGATACTAGTGCAACGTAGACCGTAGTACAATCAGAAGCAATGGTGCATGTATTTATTATTCCCCAAATAGACGTAGCAGATCGTCTCAGCCTCAGGAATCAAGCATGTTGTAACGGCCGTCGCGTTGGTGGAAGCAGACGATGGCACGCTGGCGCCCCGCCGCCTGGTGTTGCTGGCGTCGACTGGTCTGGGCAGCACAGGAGCAGCGCCAGAGGGTGGCACGTGTGAATTATGAGCAGATAGCATGTTTGTTTGCAGTCTCCTGGGCGTTTGGTTTTTGAGGATTGATGTGGTCCATTAGACTCTGATGAATGAATCCATTGCATTCCACAAATCGACGAGTGATAACCACTCAGTTTCTCAAACCAAGCTCCTTTCCCAAAGTCTTAGCTGCTGTGAGTCGGTGATGACGGGCCCAATGTAGGGTCATTTCCTGCATACAAGCAGCTACAAAACTAGTGCCACATTCAACTGCGCTGCATAAAATTGCCACATTACGATATCGAATAATGATGACGATGATGAAAAGAATCGCAGTGCCTTTTTTACTTATAGAAAGACATCATTGTAATAAAGGAGTAATAACTATGACGATGTCGCCTGCTTTTTTCTTTCCTTGGTCATAATCTAGTTCTGCACGTTGATCTAGCTCTACTACTTAATTACGATTTGTATAACCTAGTTTGAAGAGTAAAAAGATGGTCTTGCAATTGCAATGGTCAGGCATACAGGGTTCTGAATGTACGTTGCCGCTTCGGACTTGGCAAGCGAAGTTCGTCATGTATCGGCAGTACATTTTGTTTACTCTGCCAATGGCGAGGGGGGGTTTTGTGCAGTGCTGGCCTTTTGATTCATCTTGCTCAAGCTTTAACACTGCAAAACTGACGGAGGAAATTACACATTTTCGACATTATTTGCTCAACATTGCGAAACACACATTACCCTTCTTCCTAGTACTATGTTCTCTTCTCAGGGAAAGGGAGAACGACAAACACCATGAGGAGAGTAGTTAAAATTCTCTCACACCACAAGTCCACAAGCAAAGCCATGACGACTGACTCACGCAGCAACACCAAACTCCAGCAGCCGGAGTCCGGCGATCGGAGGAGAGGACAGAGGAGACAACAACTTTATCTTCACGTGGGTTTGAGGTCCTGAAACATGGAGTCCCACTTGATGTCGTCGTCGTCGCCGGCGCCGCCGTCCTCGTCCTCGTCCTCTTCCCCCTCCTCGTGCTCCTCGTCGTCGTCGTGGTAGCAGTCATGGAACATCAGGCTCGCCTTCTGAGACGACGCCGACAGCCTCGCGCCGCCGCCGCCCCTGAGGCCGCCCGCTCCGGCGACGACGCCGTCGGTGATCATGAGCACCATCTTCTTGGTGGCGCTGCCGCCACCGGTGCTCTTCCGCTGCACGGCGCCGACGCGGACGGCGTCGTCGCCGCTGCAGATCCTCGGGACGACGGTGACCGACAACGCGCCGCCCCTCCTCCTCCCGCCGCCTCCTCCTCCGGCCAGCCGGCGCACGCACCGGGACAGGCACCTGGTGGCCCTGCACGCGAGCCGCGAGGCCGCCGACGAGGCGCCCGCCCCCGCAGCCTCCGCGCCGTCCCCGGCCTGCTTCTTGGCCAGCTTGAGGATCTCGAGGCGGTGCTTGGCGACGGCGATGCCCATGCTCTTGAGCAGGTCGTGGTCGAAGTGCGCCGCGTCCCCGGGCTCCAGCTCGTTCCGGCTGAAGAGGCGCCCGTACTCGTACGTCAGTGACGGCGCCAGCCCCGTCCGCGACAGCCACGCGTACCAGTCCATGGCGTGGCGCGGTGGCCGGCGCCGGCCGGCCTGCCCTCCCTCAGCTTCCTTTTCCACCACCACCACTTGCTTCCCGCGGCTGCGTGAGTGTGCACAGGACAGGACCCAGCGCCCTCACGAGGCCCCTCACTGCTCGCCTCAACAACTCGCGCTAGTAGGATTTATAGGGAGGCATGCGCAGGGAGGGAGACTGACACTGACCGAGCTGGTAGAAGGAAGCTCGCAGCTGCAGAGCACGGCCCAGGTCACATGCATGCCTGCGCCACCTCACGCGGATTCCAGGCTGCAGCGAGCCAGCGACCAGTGAGCGAGTAAGCCCTTGTTTAGGCCTCGTTTAGTTGCGGGCGAAATCGGCGCCGCCCGAGGTACTGTAGCTACAGTAATCACTGTAGCATTTCGTTTGTATTTGGTAATAATTGTCCAAACGATGACTAATTAGGCTCAAAACGTTCGTCTCGCAAAGTACAACTAAACTGTGCAATTAGTTTTTGATTTCGTCAACATTTAGTACTCCATGCATGTACCGCAAGTTTGATGTGACGGGGAATCTTCTTTTTGCATAGTGTCAAATTCTGGAATTTTGAGGAACTAAACACCCCCTTAGTTGTGTGAATTTGAAGTTTGTTTTTATTTGGCAAATAGTGTTTAAATATAGACTAATTAATTTCAAAACGTTCGTCTCGTAATTTCCCACCAAACTGTGCAATTAGTTTTTATTTTCGTCTACATTTAATGCTTCATATATGAGCCACAAACATTCGATGTGACAAGTACTATAGCAACTTTTTAAACTTTGAGGTCCAACTAAACGAGACGTAAATTCGTGGACGCATTGCTATGACGGAACACCAACGCGTAGATGGTGCGTGCAGGCAAATCTTGCGGCCGGCGTATGTACATAAGCTTGGATTCTGTGCACGGGTACAGGATCCAACACCGTTAATGTACGGTACAGCGTGGTTTCTCCTCTTAAACTTGAGTAGTTGTCCTATCGGATGTTTGACGTATGCATGAAGTATTAAATATAGATTAATTACGAAACTAATTGTACATCTTGCGACTAATTTACGAGACGAATCTTTTAAGCCTAATTAGTCCATGATTTGACAATGTAGTGCTACAGTAAATATATGCTAATGATGGGTTAATTAGGCTTAATAAATTCGTCTCGTGGAGTACTGACGGATTCTGTAATTTTTTTATTACTATCCGAATACTCCATGCGACACCCTCACATGACACCTTCTAAATTTTAGCCACCGAATCCAAACACCACCTTAAACACCCACGATCTTTCAAAAAAAAATAAAAATAAACCCACAAATGAAGCTGAAAAGCTGCCAGTAGGCTGATCGATCTGACGCAGGTCGCGGTCCATCTCCATCCTGCCACCACCTTGCGGTGGGCATGCATGGCCGCTCGATCGATTGGTCACATGCCCCTGCAGAGTGGAGCTGCAGCTAATGGATGGCTTCCCTTTCAAGCGTGAATAAACTACTCCCTCACTCCTAAATTATAAATCATTCTACAAGTTTGACCAAATTTATATGATAATAAAATAATAATATTTATGGTAACAACTAAGTATCATTAGATTCTTCATTAATTATATTTTCATACTATACCTATTTGATGTTATAAATCTTTTAATTTTTTTCTCTATAATTTTAATCAAACTTGAGATGCTTTGACTCTATAAGGTTCTTGGAATGACTTATAATTTGGAACGGAGGAAGTACCACTATGTGTGAAGTGAAGGTTGTTAAGTGCCTTGCTGGGCAATTTGTGGTGGCATACATACTCTGCTGCATCGTGTCGGGCTTCATGATAATTATGATTCAGGTCGTCATGGTACTTTTCTATGCGAAAGACGCATGCAATCTCTATCCACTTGAGATTTCTTTTGGCTTTGGGTTGGGGCCAATGCAATGCATGCAAAAAGATCACTTGAGATGTTTGAGCGAGACACGTATAACGATGATGGCTGCTGTGTTTGTGTTGGTTGCGAGGAAGGACCACGGACACGTAAAGTGGGAAAGGACGCGAGCAAAGCGGGCGACGTGGGTGGGCAGGGGAGAAATGTGACCCGGGGCCTACGTGTCTGTTACAGTGTGTGTTACTGTTTCGTTTTATTACAATCCGACGGTAGAAAAATAGAAAAATTAGGAGAGGCCGTAGAGGATATGTGTGTGAAAGGTGTCACGCAGGATGCATTTGCTGGTAGTACAGTACAGCACAGCTTGATGAGTATGGACAACGTAGGGGAGGAAAAGCTGTGACGAGTCTTTGGAGCCACTTTTAAAGTTCCATGTGTGGACCTTTACTTCTTGTCTGGTCATGGAGCGAGCTATATATGAGGAAGTCACGAGATACGTAAAAAGATTAGGCATGGGAAAAAGTGAATTCGGCAGTAAATTAGTAGATACTCCGAAGCGTTAGATAGGAATCACAGGAACATGGGTTGTTGGATGACTGGAGCTGCATGCATGCCTCAAACAAATGCCACGGCTATGATGAGTAGCTAGTTTGTTTAGTTCATCGTCCTGTCTAAAGCATCTCCACCTTTCGAGTTTGTTTAGCCATGCCTAGTTTCGCGCCAAAAAGGGAGAAGGCTCATTCATAAATTTAACTCCCTCTGTCCACATGTCCAGATTCAAAGGTAGGATTGCGTTTTATTTGGACGGAGGGAGAAGGAGTTGACTACCAACACATGTATGGCCGCATAGAGTAAATAAAAACTTTTAAAAGGCACGTACGTAGGCTCTAGGCTGTTTAGCTTGCCTCCATCCACTCCGTATATATACGCGATCTGCTCCTGTGTACTAAGCAAATAGTAAAGCTCCTCTTAAACTGATCTGAATACATATATTTTGTATGGACACCAATCTTGATTGGGATATACCGTACGCGCGAGACTGCAGCCAGCTCACGGAGGAAGGCCAGCAGCGTCAGTCAACGGCGGTACGGAACGGGTTAACTCAGCTGTCATCCCCCGCGCGCACCCATCGTCCGACGGCCGATCGGCAGAAACGCGTGAAACGCATCAATTCCCGCGTCCGTGATCCGTCCCGCCCGCTCGCCACCTCACCGTCGCACGGCTACGTACGTGCCCGGCCCCGCGTAGGCGCGGGGGACGAGACGAGATGATTGCGCGGCGGCCGGGCGCGCGGAAGCCGGGCGATCCTGCGCGGCGGTCGCGGCCTGGGCGAAAGGACGGGCAGGATGATTGCGCCCGCGCACTTGGTGTCGTCGTCGTGTCGCCCGGGTCGGCGGGGCCGCCGGCGCCTGGGCAAAAGGAAAGAGGAGAGGACTGGGAGGGGGCACGCATCATGCACACGCGCGGAGTGCTGCTCCGCTGCTGCTGCTTCTGCCCTTCTGCGTGCGCGTTTCATTCTTGTTAAAGGAGGCTGGTTTTCCTTTGCCACGTTACGTATGATACTAGTATATAAGGCCTCGTTCGGTTTGGCCCATAACGGCCTGTAACACGGCCCGCTCCACCTGTAATTATCTGAACTGGATTGAAAATGGGACCGACCCAGAATGGTTGTTCGAATAGGCCCGATCTGAAATGAAATCAGGCCTTCCAAGCCCTTCCACCCTCTCCTTAGCCCAGATTGGAGCCACATCTAGGAACAATTGGAATTGAACTAAACCAGGTTTCGGTGAATCACAAGGATCCACTCAATCCGGTTCATGAAGAGAAACAAGCCTGTTTTCAACATGTAACAAATAAGAGTTAAATGCATGGGAGGTCCCTGAACTTGTCATTGGGTGTCACTTAGGTCCATAAACTTGCAAAATGTATTTCTGAATCCATAAACTTGATAAGTAGTATACCGTAGGTCCATATAGGACTAGTATACCGTAGGTCCATATAGGACACGTGGGCATTTCATCCAACGTGGCATTGCCACTGTGACAATGACAGTATAACACTTTGCATGTAACCCCTCATATTTTTTTATTCTTTTTTCTCCCCTCTTCTTTCTTCTCTGAAACTCAGGCCGTCACCCCCGTAGCCTCCAGCACCACTATTGCTGTTGTCGCCTCCTCTCGCGGCCTCGTCGGCAACCTCTATCACCACGGCACCTCTCTCCTACAGGCACCCTCTGCAGAACCCATCTAACAGCATCGGCTCCCTCGCACGTTGCTCTGTGTAGAGCGCAGCTGGTGCCATGGCCCGTGGTAGGATGGCCGCCCGTGCGGAACTACCGGAAGAACACCCTCGCCGAGCAGCATTCGCTCGTTGTCCACGGCCTCATGCATGAGACAGCTTTCGGCAATCGAGATGGCCGCCCAGCGTCCCCTTCTCCCCGAACAAATTAAACCCCGATGCTACTATACAGCATAACAAAAAGAGTATGGCATCCTCTTCTTTGTTAGCAACAAGCCAACAATTCAAACATGTCACATGATCGAGGATTCAACACCTGTATTACTGCTAAATATGTGTTGATTGCTTCGTATAAGTGGTCCAGTCACCGGCCGAGAATGACTCCGACTCCGATCAGCTCAGCTAGTCTTTCCGGCCGGAGCTTCGGATCACCAGCGAACTGCACGAGCGAGCGAAGTAGAACGCCACAGGTTTGGCACCGCACGCAGCCACTGCCGCTGAATCAGCCGGGAGCAGCCCGACTGCCCGATCACGCCCTCCAGGATCGCAGCGACCCTCCTGTTCGCGTCGGTCTCGCCGTCGATGGCCTCGTCCATGGGCCGTGGTCGCCCAGAACGCGTTTTCTTGGAGAGCACCAATGCAAATTGGTCGCGTAAAATAGTACGACGGGGTGACTGGTGACATACTTCTCCTTCATGCCCTGCCGCGGTAGCACCTGCACGATCTGCTTGAAGAACTGGAACGGTAGCGCGATCAGGTCCTTGATCCAGAGGTCGCACGGGGCGAGCTCCTTGACGAGCTCGGCGTCCCACCGGCGGTCAACCAGCGCGCGCTGTGCCGGTGCCAGGCTGATCCACCGCTACTCCGGCCTCCAGGTCGAGGATTCTCCACGCACTCCATGAACGCCCTGCTGTCATCGAAGATTTCCTCGACCGAGTCGGAATCCATATACTCGACTCGACTCGACCGAGTCGGAATCCATATCTCTCCCTGGCACCGATTCGGACTGCTGCAAGCGAAGGCCATAATAAAACCGGAGGCCCCGTTCCATCAAGCAGAACCACAACAATCAGCGATCGCCGATCGGCCAACAAAACGCCAGCGAGAGAACTAGAGAACCTTGCGTACTCATCGTCATCGACCGGAAAAAGCGACCATGGGCCGGTTCACGTCAAAGCTGCCACTGCTTGGGATCTTGCTCGCCGTCCTGCTGCTCCTGCCGTGCACCGCCGTGGCCGCCGTAGCCAAGGCCATCGACGCATCGAATAGCCAGCGCCTGGACCTGCCCGACGCGCTGGTTGGCCCCGAGAGCGTCGCGTTCGACGGCCACGGCGCCGGACCTTACCTCAGCATCTCCGACGGCCGCATCCTCAAGTACGGTGGCGAAGGAGCTGGCTGGAGCACGTTCACGTACAGCCCGAGCTACATCAAGAACAACTGCGACGCGCCGTCTGAGCTCCCGCCGGTCGCCATGGAGAGCTCCTGCGGCCGGCCGCTGGGCCTTCGTTTCCACCGCAACTCCGGCAACCTATACATCGCGGATGCATACATGGGGCTCATGCGGGTGGGACCGGACGGTGGGGAGGCGACCGTGCTAGCCACGGAGGCCGGCGGCGAGCCGTTCCGCTTCACCAATGGGGTGGACATCGACCAGGTCACCGGAGATGTCTACTTCACCGACAGCAGCAAGACCTACCAGCGGTCACAGCACCAGATGGTGACCGCGTCCGGCGACTCCACGGGGCGCATCATGAAGTACAGTCCACGGACCAACCAGGTCACCGTGCTCCAGTCCGGCGTGACCTACCCTAACGGCATCGCCATCAGCGAGGACAGGACCCACCTCACTGTCGCACTCACCGGACCTTGCAAGCTGCTTAGGTATTGGATCCGTGGGCCCAACGCAAACACATCCGAGATATTCACTGACCTGCCAGGATACCCAGATAACGTGAGGCCCGACGGGAACGGAGGCTATTGGGTTGCGCTGCATCGGGAGAAAAATGAGCTCCCGTATCCGCTTGGCGTGAACAAGCACTTAGTCGCCATCAGAATTGGTGCTCAAGGTGAAAAGCTCCAAGAAATGACGGGCCCTAAGAACGTTAGGCCAACCGAGGCGGTGGAAAGACAAGATGGCAAAATATATCTTGGATCCGTAGAGTTGTCTTATGTTAGCATTGTTAGCGCTTAAGATTAAAGCTAAGGATTAAGATTTAAGGATTTGATATGCTTTATTTCGAGTACTACATTATGGACCTTGTCTTGCTGTTTGTTTGTCATTATTAATAAATAAAAGTTTGCAGTTACAGTATGTTAAGTTGTCAATTGTGATACGTTGAATACATACTTTCAGTGGTCCGGCCTTGCACACCTTGTTCTTGTTTTATCACGAGTTTACGCATGGATCATGCACGCACGCGTAAGATGGATGACAAGCAATATAGTGTGTATCAAGTCTACAAATTTTACCAAATAATGAAAACATTAGCAATAGGATCAGCTTCTCTATGAATATGGAAAAGCATGCCACATTAGACCCACAATTGCAAAGACCAGATCACCAGCTTCTATATGAATCGCGCGTTTGAGAAAGAAAACTTCTCTATATGAATCATCGAACTAGCACGTATTCAAATTTCAGAATTTTAGCAGCATACTTCCAACCTAATACTTTTATAAGCACAATAGCAAACCAACATCCAGTATTCCAGTGGCACTGCATGGCAGCAATAACTTAAATTGCACCACTTTACAAATACAAACTTGTGCATTTTGGTTTCCAACTTAGATTAACACCCATCAGCTACTTCTGCGTGAAGCCTGGAAAGGAAAACACCACAAGTGCAACATAATTGCTGTACCGAATATCATTATACCATATATAAGTAAAAGCATTGTATTCGCACTTAGCACTGGTGCAGGTGTCTAATATTAAAATAAGTATATAACGGAGAAAAAAGCTGATTCAAGTCGACACACGAAAATATTCATGTGGATAGAACTTCTTCACATATTATAGTCATCTTTCTGGGCTTACCTTAGGTCCATCCTTTCCTAGAACACTTTTCTTTTTAACTAGAAGGATCTCATTTACATCGAGTGCCATCTTTGGTTTTAGTTTTGAGGGCAAACCACCCTCAGCAAAAGAATTTTCAACCTGCATGGAGTAAGATGAATCATCATTACAGATTGTTTCTGCCAGAATAACAATAAATCGAAAGGACAGGACAATGAAGACCAGGTCCAGAACCTCAGATAGACTAATACCTCTTTTCAAAAGAATTACACATACACTACAGGAAGCTCAGCCTAGCTTGGGCCTTGTTTAGATTGGGGTTAGGAATCAGTATTTGGCACTGTAGCACTTTCGTTTATATTTGACAATTATTGTCCAATCATGGCCTAACTAGGCTCAAAAGATTCGTCTCGTAATTTACAATCAAACTGTGTAATTAGTTATTTTTTTTATTTACATTTAATACTCCATGCATGTGTTCAAAGATTTGATGTGATGGAGAGAGAGTGAAAAAACTTGCAATCTAAACAAGGCCTTGGTTGTGGTGTGAATTAGTTCAAGTCCTCATCGAGGTGAATTTGAGTGCCTACTTTCTTGTTAACATAAAGCCACCTAGTTCCTCCTAGGTTGGTCCAGTTTTTTTAATCACTCATACACTAATTTTTTAAAACACAAATGCCAGGAGCTTTGCAAATTAAGGTAGGAAATGAAGACACTCATACACTATAATGCAATAATGAAACAAATCATAGATGTCTGCTTCAACAGTAGTGAAAGTCGGTTTGCCAAAATGCCACTGAGTATGTCAATGGCATATGGGAGTAGAGTAGGTCCCACATGTTATTGTATAAGTCAACACTTTAATGGAAAAATGAGACTTGTTTTCATTTTATGGAGGCAAGTGTTTCTTTTTTAGAGGACCCACATGTGGCTTGCATAATATAATATCCCCTAAATAAGAATGCCAAAGACTATCAAATATTAATACACACTCTATATGTTCATACCGAAGCATGTTCAATGATATTAGGGGCTTTTTCGTAGCCTCCCAGGCAAGATTCCCGCCAAGCATCGATCCTAGCCCCAGGCCCCTGAAATCAGACACCAGGGGGCGACGCCCAAGCCAGGCAGTCTTGCCTGGGAAACACACCCTTAGACATGCCAATATCTCCAAAGCCAGGCAATGTTTCCCATGTTTATTATTACAGAAATTAATACAATGGTACCTCACGGGCTGCATCCATGCTCAACCTGCGGAGATCAGCATCAGTCCCAGTTACGGCCTTGTTTGGATGTTATCGGATTCACCTCAATCCACATGTGTTGGGGTGGATTGGAGTGAAATTTAGTTCAAGTTCCACTCCAATCCACCCCAAGACATGTGGCTTGATATGAATCCGACTACATCCAAACAAAGCCTACAGTGGTACTCATTGCAGCAGCTGACTTCTTCTTGAGCACTGAATTGGAGGCAGGTGCTTTTGGTGCTACTCGCACATAGTTGAATCCTAACCCACAACCAGATGGATCTCCAACACCAGTGATTTCTAATCTTTCTATATTTTCTCTGCCCTGCACGCACCAAAGGAAATTTGATTAAAATCAGGAAAATGTATACCAAGAAACTAGGGAGCAAGGAAAATTAGCATCATATATCTTTATATTACGCATTTAGAAAAAAACGCACAGATAGACATGCATTCGAACATACATAACCCAACCAAACTAGGACAGCCATTCTTTAACTTTGTCTGGATAGAAACGCTACCAATATATCTGTTTGCAAACCTTTGTCCCTTCTCTCTATGCTGCAGTAGGGCCGATGGAGATGGCCGATGCCGTGCCGCTATAGATGTTGGTGCCTGATCTGTCAAGGGGGAGTGTTAAGTGACATGGGTGATCCTCCATCCTGTCTATACTGATTATTCTACTTCCTTGATTCTCTTCTCTCCTCCATTTAGTGTCACGTTTCTCCCACTTTTAACACACCTCACCTGAATCAATCTTAATTCTATAACCTCCCATCTATCTTGCTGGGTACTAGGCACACCCACTTTCTGATATACAGGACAATGGAGGTCCAAAAGCGGCTGGTTATATGGTTTGTTTGTTGATTGGTGAGCATATATCCTACCAATGGCAGACTCGCAGTTATACACCCAAACATATATATTGTAGTTTAATAAAATCACCAAAGTTCAAAACCTTTTTTGAAAAAACACACCAAGAAAACTGAATCTGGCTCACTACAGGACACAAATTTATTCAACCTTTAAGCAGATGGAATCGCTATGGCTTCTCCAGAGCATAATTTATAATTCTGATAATGCTAGATCTCTATTGCTTCTCCAGTAGCTCAGCCCAAATGGAATAAAAAATACCCATCCCACGAAGACTTATTTATCCCAGTGGGCTGAGGGGAATCGCCATGGACTCGGCTGGGTTTTCTGGACCATGTCACATCCAAAGATCAACCGGTCGAGGGGGGATATTTCATGTAAATCAACTATCATAGGAAATGGACTGGGCTCCCAGCATTCCTGCTCTCATTCCCTGTACACCCAACAAGACCAAATGTGATCATCAACTAATTACCCTGTACAAGTTTTCTTTCTGTTGATACCAAATACTGACGCTTATCTCCAAATATTAATTGGGAACAAATAAATATGAAGGTTATCTGTAGTCTCTCTAAAGCATAGAGCACATCAAGTAGCACTCAGCAGTTTTTACGAACAATACATGGTTTTAGGTCAATGAACTGATATTGAATAAAAGTAGTGATGTTCTGGATCAGATTACTTGAGTAAAACACCATATGAGACAAAGAGTAAGGTACCTGATTAGTACAAGCAACAAAATTACTTGTAAGATTCCAGCTAGTGATTTGCAGTTCCCTCTCGATATGTGATGCAGCAGCAAGCTCAATAGCCTCATCAGGAAGCTGATTCATGGCAGAAGCCAGTCCAACAGGCTGAGTACCATGTGTGATTGACAGATACCTTCAAATCTGCACAATGCTTCAATTGTTTTTTCACTATAGCTTCTGTCAGAGGACTTTGTATGGGTAACTCGTCAGCTCAAATCTGAGGAATAACATCAGGCCTCTCTCTAGCATGAAACTCACGATAAACATATGCAAGGCCTCTCTCAAGGCACTGAAAGCTTAAAATTATTTACTGTTAGAAAATAGGGAAAACATTCCTGAATTATAATCTCTCTCCGGCATTTCTTACAAAATATTATTGAAAGCTAACTAGAGAATTCCTGAATCCGAGCTAACAAGGACTGCACACAAGATTATTTAACCTGTTGATAAAAAGAGAACATCTCTCTAGAGAATTTCCTCATTCAAAGCATGCCACACAGCAGGGCCATAAAATTAGAGCACAGGACATAATAGTCCCTCCAACAAATTGGCATCTCACGTAAACATGATCAGCACAGTTGAAAACTCAATTGCTTTTTTTCGTCAACACTCAACTGTTGGCTTCATTGAGGAAACTATACTTTTCAGGCAGAGACTTTGCATGGTGCTGATATTCACCCCTCGAGAAAAGTGATATAAGCACAGAAGTAGTGGAAGCCTCAAGTGAGAAATTCTCATCAAGTTTGGAGAGGCAAGCCAAAGCCCTGCTAACGTCACCTCTCTGCAACAGCCTCCTAACTAGAGCATTTAACATACGTGAGTCTGGAGCAGTACCACTCTTTTCCATTGTTGAAAACGGACCATCAAACTCCTCTAGCAACCCTTCTTGTATGAGATTTTCTGCAACTAAGCAATAGGTCACAACATCTGGAACCAAACCATTAGCAGGGATAGCAGCGAACAAATCCATGGCATCTTCCTTTTTGCCAACTTTGAAAAAAGCACCAATCATGATGTTGAAAGTTATAATGTCAAGTTGAAGATCCTTAGAACACATGATCTGAAACATTTTGAATGCTTCGTCAACATAATTATTTTTTGCAAAGACCATTTAGAATTATGTTGTGTGTGTAAATGTCCCACTCTTTACCACCTTCGAGCATTCGAACCACCTCATTCCACTGTCCTATGGAGAGATATCCATGGATCAGACAGTTATATGTGTCATTGTCTGGCTTAACACCATTATCAATCATCTACTGAAAGACACCGTTGGCCCTATCAACCATTTGAGATTTGCACAGGCCATCAATTACTGTGTTGTATGTCACAACATTCGGTTGAATCCCCCGATCCATCAAAGAAACCGTTGATGACGGTGCTGTATGCCACCACATTTGGTGGGCAGCTTCTACCTTGATCGTTAGCCATCATATGCAGCAGCTCAAGTGCCGCCTCAGCTCTGTTGTCATTGCAGAAACCCTTGAGAAGTATGCTATATGAAACTACATTTGGCGTGCAGCCAAGCTCAGGCATTCGTTGGAGCAGCTCAAGTGCCTCCTCAGCTCTGTTGTCATTGTAGAAACCATTGAGAAGTATGTTATATGAAACTACATCTGGCGTGCAGCCATGCTCAGGCATTCGTTGCAGCAAAACGTCCATGGCCTCGCCCACCCTCTTTGCGTCACAGAGACCATTGAGCAGTTGACTGATGACTATGTCATTCACCCTCCAGCCTGTCTTAAGGATGAGGCCAAAGGTGGTGAAGCCATGATTCAGGTGGCTCATACGGCAGAAGCAACCGATGAGGATGCTGTAGGTGAAACTGTCGGGAGCCACCTTGTGGGAGCAGTCACGTATCATCCGGTTGAAGAGGGAGATGACGAGGTCTGAGCCTGAGGTGGAGGAGCGCCGGCCTGAGGCACGTGAGACAGCAGTGAGGATCTGGTTGAAGGCAATGACCGAGGCGGGCCTGACGTGGAGAAGCAATTTGTCAAACAGCTTCAGCGCGTTGCTGAGGCCAAGTCTTCACGAGCGGGCGCGGCCGGCGATGGCGCGCTCCAGCTCCAAGCACCAGTCGCGTACGGCGCTCACGCGGCGTGACATGCCGACGGTGCGCGGGTGATGGGGCCAGTAGCCCCGCGAGGAGAGGCACGGACGGGCGGCGCGCTGCGTCCGCCTCCGGATCGGAAGCAGAACACACTCGTGAGCTGGGTGGAGCCGCCTGTACCGTGCCCTGGGTTGTGTGGGCGGCGGCGGCGGCGCGCAGCTGGGCGCGCTGGTGGTTGGGCAGGCGGGGCGACGGGCGCAGGTGCTGCTGGGGCGCTCGCCGTTGAGCCTCAACTGCTGCGCCTGGGCGCTACTGAGGTCCCCAACCCCAAGGGCGTGACTGCCTCACCTCTATCTTGACTGTTTTTTCTTTTTTTTTCTCCCACATCACAATGAAGCCTGATCTTATCAAACACACAGATTGGTGCGGTGCGATCCAAGCGGAAGGTAATTTATTCGCAAAACTACTCATGTACAATTATCACAGTATTTTCCTCAAGAAAAAAACAATTATCACAGTACAATCACGCCAATTCAGAAGACGGATTTCCTCTCAGATTTTTCTTTTCTACCGGGCCTGCACCGTCGTCACTGTGCTGCAGAAACCCGCCGGCGTTTGGCTGGTGATCAAGCTCCTGTTACACTCGCCTGTACGGCCGTCGGGGGCTGTTGAGCAGCACCTTCTCCTCGATGGGGAGCCTGTACGGGGACACCTTGAACCGCTCGCTCTCCCGGCGCCGCCGCCGCTCCCGGGAGTGCACCACCCACGCCGCCGCGGCGAGCATCGCGGCCAACGACGCCGCGAGCAGCGCCTGGTACAGCCGGCCGCTGTCCCGCCGCAGCGGGGGGCAGCCGCGCTGGCTCACCGTCTGGAACGCGCGCCGCACGGTCACGCAGCTCGCGATGTCGGCCAGGGCGGGGGACTGCCCGCGCAGCCCGTCGCTGAGGCCGGCCACGGTGACCATCTGGGAGTACATCGCCGGCGTCAGGCGGCCCACCGTCGAGCACACCTCCTGCCCCGACGACCCCGTCGCGCGGCACACGTAGCGCTGCCACACCTGATGCGAACACGCAATGCAAAAGCGCGTCAGATATGAGGCGACCAACGACGCGCCATGGCGAATTGGCGATAGCGGTTCTTTGTCCGTGCCGTACGGCGTGCGTGCGTACCTGTTGCGCGTTGTCGGTGGTGACCTCGCCGGCGGCGCAGGATCGGTCGGAGAGGTCGGCGGCGTTGTAGGGGCTGCATAAGAGCGGCACGAGAGGCCCGGACTGGTTGTAGTAGAGCGGAGGGCCGACCTGGGCAGGCACGTCGCGGTTGGACACGTTGGAGACCAGCTCGTTGAGCTTGGAGACGAGCTGGAAGTTGACATCCTTGCTCCGGCGCAGGGCCTCCGCCGTCACCGCCGCGTCGGCGCAGGGGAGGATGTCGTCCAGCGCCGTGTGGCTCTGCCCCTGCGGCTGGACCACCCACTCGTCCATGGCCACGCAGGTGTCGCCTATCACGCTGAACACATGGCCAAATTCAAAGGTCGCAGTATACTATGTTAACTTGTACAGTGCTTAGCATTTGAAATGAGTTTTGAAATTTGGACGAACTGGAACAAAAACATCCAGATTTGTTCAGAAATCGTTCTAAAACCAACCATAACAGGCGGCAACAGCTTACTTGTGCAGGAGAAGGAAAGTGCCGGACAGTATTAGTGTCGCAGTGATTATGATCCATCCAAGAAACACCACTCTGCCAAAATACAGAAACTGAAACTTAGCACACCAATATTGGCCCTGTTCGCTTCGCTAAAAAAATAAGTCGAAACACCATTTAAAATTTAATTTGTTGTGAGAGAAAAACACTATTAAACTGAAAAAAAATTTTGAAAAAAGACGGATTATAAGAGAAGCGAACAGGGGCCATAATCTCTGGAAGAACCTGTTACATCAAGTAGTGTCAGAGTTGGATGCGTATGTTCTCTGTATGCTGTGGTAATGTGCTTACATGGACACAAGCGACTTCTTCCCGGTCAACGAGAACACTGCAACAAATTGTTGAGAGAAATTTCGTAAGAATCAGAAAAATAAATGATGTCATAATTTCAAGCTGGTCAAGTAAATAAGTAGTGTATATATTTTTCTTCTTCTGAAGACTTGGTAAGAGCAATTTATGCTCACCGAAGCCAAGAAGCACGAGGACGAGCATCACGGCCGCGACACCAATCAGGACCTTCCTTCTGCAATCACGTAAAGCAAACAACCGATCAAGATCATCCAGGATGGTACCAGGAGTTCATCTCGCCCATCAAGAATCTTGCAAGTCACAGACGACGAATCAGAGTCAGTGGCGACGTTTTCAGTACGTACATGGTGTCCAGCGCTGTCCGGATCCTGCGGGAGTTGCTAGCCGTGCGCGCGGTGAGCTCGTCGGAGGCCGCGTCCACCCGGCCCGCGACGTCGTCGATGCTCCGCGCGACGTCGGCGGGCAGCGAGGCCACGCCGCCGCCCACCGTCTTCGCCGTCTGCAGGAGGCCCGTGAAGTTGCGCATGGTGGCCGCGGCGCCGTCGGCCTGTCTCACCACGTAGTCCAGCGTCGCCGTCGTGCTGCCGTTGAACTTGCCCTGCCCGTCGTACAGAACCGCACACCCGATGCTGCGACACGCGATCAGTTCATGATTGCCGCCGCCGGCTTATCCGCACACAGGTGCAACGATTGGTTGGTTGATCGAGCTGGGAAGATCGGTTGCTTTGCTTACACGGCTGCGGCTGTGAAGACGAGCAGGAGCAGGAGCGAGAGAGCGAACACCCGGCGCGAGTAGGAGTAGCTGCTGCTGCCGCCGCCGCCGCGGCAGCAACAGCTGCAGCAGCAGGCGATGAGCGCCGCCGCCGCGACCGCGACGAACCAGAGCGCGGCGAACGCGAACACGGGCGCCGCGCTGAAACCTGCCGACTGCATGCAACACCACACGGGTCACGCGGCGGGACGCCATGAATCATCAGCTACGGGCACCATGCTTTGAACTGGCAAGCGGCAGCCGGCAGGCACAAGAAGAAACCAAGAACTCACCGCCAGGTAGTGCCTGTTGCTGATGTTCCAGCCGCCGGTGTAGTACCTGAGCCCGTCGAGGGGGTCCTTCCGCCGCGTCCGCTCCGCCGCCAACAGGGTCGTGTCGTTGGACGCCGCAGCTGCGACGATGGCCGATTCATCTACGTGTCAGCTCACCGATCTTGGTCCGCACAAGAAGTTCTTCATGTGAAGGAAAAAGGCTACCTGATACATGGGCGCAGAGGGTTGCAGAGACGAGGAGGACGACGAGCCAGCTTCTGCCAGACGGTCCCATGGCTGCCCAGCTGCCTACGCAAGCGAAGCTCCGAGGCGACGCTGATCAAATGAACTGCAAAATGTGTACATGACCGAGTATATGCACTCAGCAATCGGCGAACTGGTCGCGCGAAAAAAATTGTAATGTTTTCTTTGTCGTCAGAGAAGTGGATGCATGGGCGTAAGGTGTTAGGTGTGACCGTGTCCTTGTGCGTCTGGGAGATGCATGCAAAGTTGCAAACGCTGCTGGGTGCTGGCCGGGCCTTCATCTGTTGCCAAGTAATGCAGAGCTTGTTATATGGCGCTGCGAAAAGCTCTGCTTGTTCGAGTAAATAAATTCAGGTCATTTCGCAGTTTCGTCGCTGCCATTGCAAAAAGAAAAAAAAGACAGTAGTTTATATATTTATATTTTTATATAATAAATATGTTGAGACCAGATGTTCGTCTCCTGGCTTTCCTTTTTTTTAAAAAAAAAAGGTGTTCCTTGTCCTGAACAGACGATCCAAGCGCCATCGTACCTATATCTAGGTTTCTGAAACTTTCCTTAGCCGTGTGGAACTGCTATACCTTAGGTGAGAGCATCTCAAATCGAACCTTCACGAGTTATACAGAGCCTGTTTAGATTCACCCAACTTAAGTTTAGCCTAGTAAAATTTTAAAGTTAAACTTTAGCCAGCTAAAAGTTCTTCCAGCTAAATTTTTAGCTCGGGTGTTTGATCCTCCAGCTAATAAACTCAGCTAAATTTTAATTGGGTTTAGCTGGATTAAAGTAGCTAAACTCACCTAAACTTTAGCTAGTCTTTTAGGTAGGCCATTTGGATCCCTAACAACTAAATTAGTCAGCTAAAGGTTAGATAGTGGATCCAAACATGCGCTTAAGTTGTCTATACTCTAATAGGTGTATATATCCAAGATTTTGTTTAAAAATAATAATAGGTGTGTAAGAGCATCTCCAAAAGTTCCTTAAACCCCTTCCTAATCCTAAGTTTTTAAAAATATTAAAAAAAATCCTCTCCAACAATTCTCAATACTCCCTCCTAAAATTTACGTACTTGTAAAATTTTCCCCGTTCATGATAACTAACTGCGCGGGCGTGGCTCATGTGGATCTGGCTTCCTCCTCCACACCTGAAGCCAGCCAGCGGCGCCACCTCGCATGGAAGCGACGACTATGCTTCTTCTGTTCACCCTCCTCCTCGCGGGAACAACGAGGCTGCACCTACACGGCCTCTGTTGTTGCCGGTGAAGGCGGGTTTCAGCGTGGACTTCATCCACCACGACTCGCCAGGTCGCCGTTCCGCCTCCTTGTCCCGCATGCGCATAGATGGCATGCGCTCGCCGCGCGCCGCCTTCGCTCGAGGCGAGGTGCTCGAAGGCGCTCTTACAGCTGGCGCGTCTCTCCGCGCCGCGCCCATGTCCATGGCCGACGGCGGCGCCGAGTCCAAGATCATCACCGGTCGTTCGAGTACTGATGTACGTGAACGTCGATACGCCGCCGACGCGATTGCTCGCCATCGCCGACACCGGCGGCGACCTCGTGTGGGTGAACCGCGGCAGCAGCAACGGCGGCGGTGGTGGCGGCGACGGCCCCGCGGGACGTGGGACGCAGATTGTCTTTGGGTGTGTTCTCCGTCGGAGGCCGTATCCATGTCGAAGGCGCGTCTCCGGCGCTGGCGGGCATGGTGTAATCTGGCGAGTACACGAGCACGACGACGCAGTCGGCGTCCGATGGGTCCGACGAGATGATCGCCCGGACGTAGAGGTAGTTGATGAGCTCACGCGCGTCCAGCGTGGTGGCCGCGTTGGCGGGATCGTACACCCACAGCGATGAGTCCGTACTGGTATTCTACTCCTGGTACATCTTTGGCTGCTGGATCTCAAGCAGCAGCTGCTGGTGCATCTTCGGCTGCTGGATCTCAAGTGCAAGCTGCCGACGACGTGCGCGAGCTCCTCCTCTCAAGCCGCAACATAATTCATGTGGCCCCAAAATTAATTTTTTAATATTATTTATTAGAAACTCTCGGAGACGATCTTCTTTTTTTCTCCTCAAATCTTTTTAGGAGTTGCCAAACTACATGTTTTTAAAAGAAAAAAAAAATATGAAACTCTTGGAGATGCTCCAATCCTAGATTTTTTTTTAAAAAAAAACTTATCTCTTTGTGCAATAAGGACACACGGGAGTACGGAAGTACGCGTAGCACATTGTTTAAAACGACGAATAATTGCCCGGTTAGGTTAACATCCATGGGTAACATCCAATGACATCGCCATGAGTCCCCAGTCAAGGCCAGTGCACATCATTAAACGTCTCGCAAGTTAAGCAAAATAACTTGTCCGGCATAGATCGTTTTGTTACTAGTATTGACTTTGGGCATCCATGTCAGACGTCCGATTAAAGACGTAACTACATGCCACGATAGATGCCAAGTTGCCAACAGATGCATTATACTATTATATATATTCATATCAGATGGTTCAGACTCAGGGGCCTGAGCTGACCTTCATTTCGGCATGATTGAAATTTGTCCATCAGCTTTGTGGTTCAGGGTTCAAAGCATACACCTCCAGATATAAGAAATAAGGTTGAAATAAGACCTAGAGAAGTTAGAAAGTGTGCACCCAGGCACGTACTGCAGTCTATTGATTCATGCTGCACTTGAACGCCATTCACATTACATCAAATACTGCAAGACAAACGGATTGATGGACCGATATCATGTATATGGACAGATTACATTCTACATTTTTACAACATGAGGCCATTGGTTACGGCGGACTCTGAGTGACTAACCTAGATCTTTTGTACTTCCACCAACTCCCAACCCAATACCAACAGTAGGTAAAAACAGCTGGATTTGGGATTGCATGTAAATTACTGCTAGGACCCAAAAATGTACAACTTTTCCCCTCCTACAGATCAGCAAATACATCATCTATGTTAGGTTATAGCAAGATCCACATGCTAAATCTAATTATTATATTGCTACTCAATAGCATCTTCCGCCTCGGTGAGCAGATCTGCACTTTGGTCAAGCAGGTAGTCGCAGACCTCCATGAGCTCGTCAGCGAGTGGAGGAATGTGAGGATGGCGATCGTCATTGTATAAGTGTGCGTTCAGTTGTATCTGTGCTACATCGTGCCTGAATTCATCCCGGTTTCTGTACACCATCTCTCTCACCTTGTCTCTAATGGTACCAAGATCCATTGGGTGCTGTATGAAGTCAAGGTAATCAGGAGCATCTTTCTTTGTCACTGGTTTTAAAAATAGCAGTGATCCACTCAAACCCATAAGTGATCAACTATCTTTTCCAATATGTTGGAGAGCTCAACCTGCATGACGAGGAAGCAATTAATCAAGCCCGAATTCCATTTCCAACAAATCCCTCCATGTGTAATTTACTTTATTCTCTTTTAACAGTTGTACAATGCAATAAGCAAACCCTACTGTATCAAATTATCAGTTTGTATAGAAAAAGTTCAGCAAAACAATTATCAAATAGTGGCAAAATACTTAAACAAGTGGGTGGACAATAACACTAAAACCACAGAAATTTACTGCATTTTAAAATACAAGACATACTAGCTTTTGCCATCTTGTTTCAAAATCCTTTAGTGTGTTTATTTTAATGATATTTTCTTTCTTTTACCATGATTATTGTTATATCACACAGCTATATTCTCAATAGGCAAGAGGCAAGACATTAACACAGGTGATGCTATCGTCATTTTCCAAAGCACTTGCAATAAACATATAGGTGAAAGCTAAGAAAATGCACCTCTCCTCCTCTGCGACGCTTAGCAGATGACGCATATCCAATCACATGAGCCGGACTAGATCTTTTTACTGCTCGATGTCTTTCAGGTACCCTTCTGTCATTTCTGTACGGCCTGTGATCAAGTAAGTCATCATCTTTGAATTCATGTTTTTTCTTTTTCTTTATTTTCTTTTTTGCCTTTAGATGGTCTTCATCCCTCGATGCATATATCGTAGCATCAAAGAGCCTTGGTTGTGGCATTTCTCTTTGCTCCTCAAAATCTCTCCAGGATCTGTCATTTTGCATTGTGGCTTTGCTTCTTTTTCCTTCCAGACCCAGCCTCCTCTCATGTGAGGAATTCATCTGGCTGGGTTCCCCACCAAACCAATGATCATCCTCTCTACTTCTATCCTCAAAACTCGATAATTCTACAATTTTTCTTGTCTTTCTGGTGGGCTCCTGACCACTCCTAGGTTCAACATGTCTTTGCTGGTCTATGCCTTTAGGCTGCTTGATGGTGATCTTTTTGCGAGGTGCATTCTTTTCTTCAGCAGGAGGCGAAATACAACAGATGGCTTTGGAGTGTCAGGAGGAAATCATCAGACTTCATCTTATTAGGTATCACTATCTTATTTACCTTTCCAGTAGATCTACTGTCTGTAACATCCATGACACGTTTATCAGAAACGAGTGAAACGGAGAGTGACATGTTCCTCTCCAAGGATTTATCAGGTGCCCCTACTTTGAATTTTACTGGGACAGATTTTGTCTTTTCAATACCTTCTGGCCCTTCAGTTTCAGTAACTTCAGAGGAAACTTTTGGTATCGATCTTTTAGGTATCTTTGCTTGCAAATGGTTTATATCCGTAGGGTTGGACTTAACTGAATTAGCATCCATTTCTGAAATTTCTGGATCCTCCCCATACTTGGGGCACAGTTTGTTAGTCCGCATATGCCCAACCTATACAACAGCAATGAGACAAAAAAAATAATAAGTCATGAAACATAATAATATTTTTCAGAAGGGCGCATGCAAGAAATTGTTTTACTGAACCTACCTGACCACAGGCTCCACAAACAAGAGTATCCCCCCTTGCACCCTGTTTCTTCTCCTGAAAATATGGAAAAGCATGCCACATAAGACCCACAATAGCAAAAGACCAGATCAGCTTCTATATGTATCACGCGTTTGAGAAAGAAAGCTTCTCTATGAATCATCGAACTAACACGTATTCAATTTTAGAATTTTAGAGCATACTTCCAACCTAATACTTTTATAGGCACAATAGCAAACCAATATCCAGTGGCACTGAATGGCAGCAATACCTTAAATTGCCACCATATTACAAATACAAACTTGTGCATTTTGGTATCCAACTTAGATTAACACCCATCAGCTACTTCTGCGTTAAGCCTCGTGGAAAGGAAAACACCACAAGTGCAACACAATTGACGTACCGAATATCATTATACCATATGCACTGGTGCAGGTGTCTAATATTAAAATAAGTATAATGGAGAAAAAAGCTGATTCAAGTCGTCACACAAAAGTATTCATGTGGATAGAACTACTTCACATATCACAGTCATCTTTCTGGGCTTACCTTAGGTCCATCCTTTCCTAGAACACTTTTCTTTTTAACTAGAAGGATCTCATTTGCATCGAGTGCCATCTTTGGTTTTAGTTTTGAGGGCAAACCACCCTCAGCAAAAGAATTTTCAACCTGCATGGAGTAAGATGAATCATCATTACAGATTGTTTCTGCCAGAATAACAATAAATCAAAAGGACAGGACAATGAAGACCAGGTCCAGAGCCTCAGATAGACTAATACCTCTTTTCCTTCTCTTGGTGTGCTCTCCTTTGGGGTTAATGCACCAGCATAACCAGATGATTTGATCATTTGCCCAGTCTTACTCTGCTTCATTTTATTGGCACCTATAGAGGTGCCACAATTTGTCAATTCCGCAGGCTGCTTTTTCCTCTTGACATCATTACCATCGTCTGCATCGTAAGAGGCCATAAATCATATGCACCAGCGGTCGGTTTTGCAAAGAACATAGAAGAAAATAACTACCTTCAAGTAGTTTCTTTGCCAGAGAGGCTTCTGTTTCATCATCTTCAATTTCCTCATTAATTTGGGCATGCGAAGAGCACCTTCTCATTTTAAGTCCTCTCATTCCATCTGCTTTGTCAATTCTCAAGTCTGCTGTACTAGTATCCTCATCATCAAATTCTTCTGCGTCTAGCAAGTTCTCAAGATCCCCAGCAAATGAGTCTAGATCACTGTTAGCTTCTGTGTCACTGCCATTGTCATCACCTTCTATAGCTGAAAGTGACTGAACTTGTCTGTCCCAAATTTCCTGACATTTCTCTCCCTAGTTTGCTGCTGAAGTTGCAGAAAAGACATCCTTTGTCCACGTGCAAACTTACTAACAGGAATTTCGTCAATAGTAATTCCCGATGCAGCTTGTTCACTTGAAAGCTTCCTCACCATAGCAATCCGATGCCACCTTGTTAATTTATCAATTTGCTCTTCAGGTACGCCGAATTTCAGCAGCAACTATATATAGCAGTGCATCAATTATTTAGTGAACAAAGTAGAAAGGTGGAATAAATGAAGGACATGCAACACATGCCAAGCTTTGGAGGTGGTCACTATGGATTTCCTTTTCACCAAGAATGGGTGCAGATTTGAGCAATATGCTTTGTGATCAATGATAAATGATACACCATATATTCTATTATAGTTGCTTCCTTCAAATTCTCAGCTGTGAGCTGATATGATGCATCAATGAACCAGGCTGTATGCAAACTATGCAATGGCTGGAATAAGTTTATGTTTCCTAAAAAGATTCACAATTTTGATTCTCAAAAGTATTACACATACACTAAGCTCAGCCTAGCTCGGTTGAGGGTGTGAATGTCACCTAGTTGAAGTCCTCGTCGAGGTGCATTTGAGTGCCTACTTTCTTGTTAACATAAAGCCACCTAGTTCCTCCTAGGTTGGTCCAGTTTTTTTAATCAATCATACACTATAATTTTTCAAAACACAAATGGCAGGAGCTTTGCCCTTCAATTAAGCTAGGAAAACAAGACACTCGTACACTATAATGCAATAATGAAAGAGACCATAGATGTCTGCTTCAACAGAGTGAAAGTCAGTATGCCAAAATGCCACTGAGTACGTATGGGAGTAGGTCCCACCTGTTATTGTATAAGTCAACACTGCAATGGCAAAATGAGAATTGTTTTCATTTTATGGAGGCAAGTGTTTCTTGTTTAGAGGACCCACATGTGGCTTGCATAATATAATGATCCCCTAAATAAGAATGACAAAGACCATCAAATATTAATACACACTCTATATGTTCATATATACTGAAGCATGTTCAATGATATTAGGGCTTTTTCGTAGCCTCCCAAGCAAGATTCCCGCCAGGCATCGATCCTAGCCCCAGGCCTCTGAAATCAGACGCCAGGGGGCGACGCCCAAGCCAGGCAGTCTTGCCTGGGAAACACACCCTTAGGCATGCCAATATCTCCAAAGCCAGGCAATGTCTCCTATGTTTATTATTACAGAAATGAGTACAATGGTACCTCACGGGCTGCATCCATGCTCAGCCTGCGGAGATCAGCATCAGTCCCAGTTACAGTGGTACCCTTTGCAGCAGCTGACTTCTTCTTGAGCACTGAATTGGAGGCAGGTGCTTTTGGTGCTACTCGCACATAGCTGAATCCTAACCCACGACCAGATGGATCTCCAACACCAGTGATTTCTAATCTTTCTATATTTTCTCTGTCCTGCACGCACCAAAGGAAATTTGATTAAAATCAGGAAAATGTATACCAAGAAACTATGGAGCAAGGAAAATTAGCATCATATATCTTTACATTTCGCATTTAGAAAAAACGCACAGATAGACATGCATTCGAACATACATAACCCAACCAAACTAGGACTGCCATCCTTTAACTTTGCCAGGATAGGAACGCTACCAATATATCTGTTTAAACTGATTATTCTACTTCCTTGATTCTCTTCTCTCCTCCACTTAGTGTCATGTTTCTCCCACTTTTAACACACCTCACCTGAATCAATCTTAATTCTCTAACATCCCATCTATCTTGCTGGGTACTAGGCACACCAACTTTTTGATATACAGGACAATGGAGGTCCAAAAGCGGCTGGTTATATGGTTTGTTTGTTGATTGGAGAGCATATATCCTACCAGTGGCAGACTCGCAGTTATACACCCAAACATATATATTGTAGTTTAATAAAATCACCAAACTTCAAAACCTTTTTTTGAAAAAACACACCAAGAAAACTGAATCTGGCTCACTACAGGACACAAATTTATTCAACCTTTAAGCAGATGGAATCGCTATGGCTTCTCCAGAGCTTAATTTATAATTCTGGTAACGCTAGAGCTCTATTACTTCTCCAGTAGCTCAGCCCAAATGGAATTGTCGGTGTTTTGGAACCGGGGGTCCCTCAACCAACGAGTGAATTTGTGCTGCGTGCCCCTAATCCCGGATGGTGGCGCAAAGAGACACAAGGTTTATACTGGTTCAGGCAATCGAGGCCCTACGTCCGGTCGAGAGATCGATCTTGTATTCCTTGCACCGGAGTGCTCGTAGTAGGGGTTACAAGCTAGGTGAGAGAGGAACTAGCCCTGGTCTCGGCGAGTGTGGTGCGGGCTGCTTGAGGCGTTGTTCCCAAGCGGCGTAGGAGTGCGTGGTTCTATCGGCGTGTTCGTCTTTCCGGCCTCTCTCGAAATGGCTTTGATCCCTCCCTTTTATACTCTAAGGGAGGACCGGGACCCGCACTGTGGTGCTACATAGCGCTTCAGTAAATGGGGTGGCGTGTCCGAGCCACGTAGTCGACCCTTGTTGTGGTATGGTCGATGGAGTGGCCCGTCCTTGTCATGCGGAAGTGACATCTTGGTCATACTCGGTCTTGTGCGTCGTGGGGCTCCGAAGACGGCTTGATGCGAGGACATGGCGGGCGACGTCTTTGGTCGCCGTGTAATGACGTCGTAGGGAGCGGTGGCTCTGCAGATGCCGAGGCCGAGCCATCGTGGGGGGCTCGGTGGTCATGGACCCTCAGCCGCCGAGCGGCCGTGAAGCAAACTGTCGAGGCCTTGGGGGAGTTATTGGCCCTGGTGCGATTCCGAGGCCACGATAGCCAGACGTGGCTCCCCATGCTGCGTTGTCCTTGGAGCGGGGAGTTGGCGGCCTGATGAGTGAGGCATGGGTGTCAACCATGTGCATGGTGGATAGCATAGTGACGGGTAACCCTGCTTGATCCGGGGACGTGCGAGTCATCGCGTGATGACGTCGTAGGGGTTGTGGCTCTGAGGTGCGAGGCCAAGCCATCGCGGGGCTTTGGCGGACATGGGTCCTCGGTTTGTCGAGCCCTCGGAGCAAGCTGCCGAGGCCTTGGAGGGAATTATTGCTCCTGGTGCGATTCCGAGGCCACGATAGCCGGATGTGGCTCCCACGCTGCATTGTCCTCGGTGCGGGAGTTGATGACATAGTGAGGCATGGCGCGTCAACCCATGTGCACGGTGGTTAATACGATGGCGGGTAACCCCGCTTGATCCCGCCTCTGTCCCATCGGCCATTCTCACATCTTGTGCGGGCATGCGGTGTTGTCGAAGAAGCGTGATTGGTGAGTTGATCACGACTGACGTTTTGCGGAGGGACGGGAGAAGGAAGAGGTAGCGAGTCTTCGCCGAGCCCGCCGCTTCTTGCGAGACGGAGGGTCGGTGGCCTCGGCCGAGGCCTTTGGCGGGGAATCGACCGAGGCCCATGGTGGGGGCCTCGGGCGAATCGGAGAATCGGTGAGGTCTCAGCGGTGATGAGGCCTCGGGCGAGAGTCGGAGAATCGGCCGAGGCCATGGTGATGGGGCCTCGGAAGAGTCGGAGAATCGGCCGAGGCCCATGGTGATGGGGCCTCGGGGAGAGTGAGAATCGGCCGAGGTCCCATGGATGATGGGGCCTCGGGCGAGTCGAGAGAATCGCAGGCGGCTGCAATTAGTTGGTTTCGATCTTCTGAAATCTAAGCGATCGTTTTTGGATCTTGCTTAGGGTACCCCTTCTCATGGTATCCAAGCAGTAGGCCCCCGAGCCTTGGGGGGGTGGAGGCACTCCCCGAGGTTCGGCGAATTGGCTCTTGATAGCTCTGTCGGGATGGTGTTTTGTTTTCGAGGTTTGGTGGGCGCTGTGGGCACCTGGCCCGGTGTAGTCTTCGAGGCCACGGAGGGTGATTTCACTTCTTGAGGGCTTTTTCTCTTCGAGTGAGGCGTTTTGATCGTGTTTGCGGGCCCGTGGAGTGCGAGTTGGATCGCGGGGCCTCGGCGATGTTGCGGAAAGAGCCCCTTAGCCTCCGCTTTGGGCGAGAGGGCCGTCGGGGTTCTCCGGCTTTTTGTACGACCCTCGTGCTTCCTTTTCGCTCGGAAGGAGGGTGAAAGATGCCATGCCACCCTCGGTGGGGCGAGCGATGGCATCTCCGGTGAGTGATTATCGGGTAAGTCCAGTGGAGGCTCGTACCCGTTCGGCTGGGGTCGGCTAGCGGTCCCGAGGACGCGCTCCAAGAGTCTGGGAGGGTTTCTCTAGTGGGTGCCGAGGCCGTTCTTTGGGCCTCGGTGGCTCGGTGCCTCCCTACGGTTGGATCCCATTCGGAGACCTCCCTACCGGTCTCGGACACAACACAGTAGGCGTGCTCGTGACAGGCTCGCCCGTGTAGTCGCCCCTGACTCTTTTGCCTGAGGGCAGTTGCCGAAACCCACAGGGGCCCAGACTTTCGAACCCCTGGACCGTGCAGGATCGGGTCGCTTGTTTTTATCTTGGGTGCGGGAAGAGCCCCGAGCCTCCTTGACGGAGGCGAGAGAGGCGGTCCGGGGTCCTCCCGACTTTTTTGCCGATCCCCCGCCTCGCCCTTTTCGCTCGGACGGGGGCTTTTCTTGAGTCCACTCGTGTGCGAGCTGAGCCATTGGTCTCGGCAAAGTTTGCGGGAGGAGCCCAGAGTCTCGTGACGGAGCGAGAGAGCGGTCGAGGTCCCCGGCTTTTGGTTCGCCCCTGCGTGAGGGTCTGACTGCCGAGCCCCCCTCGGGTGCGAGCCTAGGTCATGAGGTCTCGGCGTCTTTGCGGAAGGAGCTCCCTAGCCTCACTGACGGAGCAAGAGGGCCGTCGGGGAGTTCTTCCGGCTTTTTTGAGCGACCCTCGCGCTTTCTTTTTCGCTCGGAAGGAGGGTTGGTTTTTGCCGAGACCCCTCGTGTGCGAGCTCAAGTCATTGGGCCTAACAGCGTTTTGCGGGAAGAGTCCCTTAGCTCTCTTGCGAGACAAGAGGGCCGTCGGGGATTCTCGACTTTTTATTCGACCCTCGCGCTTCCCTTTTTCGCTCGGAAGGAGGGTGGAATGTGCCACGCTACCCTCGGTGGGCGCGAGCGATGGCATCTCCGGTGAGTGTTATCGGGTAAGTCCGAGTGGAGGCCCGTACCCGTTCATTGGGGTCGGCTAAGCGGTCCGGAGGCGCTCCAAAAGTCTGGGAGGGTTTCTCTAGTGGGTGCCGAGGGGCCGTTCATTTGGGCCTCGGTGGCTCGGTGCCTCCCTACGGTGGGATCCCATTCGGAGACCTCCCTGCTGGTCTCGGACACAACACAGGCGTCCCAAGCGTTTGGCTTGCTTGGGCCTCGGCTTTGTGTAGGCTCGCCCGTGGTGCCCTCGACTCTGTTGCCACAGGCGCGGTGCCGAAACCCCTAAGGGCCCAACCTTGAACCCCTGGACCGAAGCGGGCTTGGTGCCCGATTCCTTTGCTGGAAGGAATCGGGGGTTATTTCTCTCCCTACGGTTAATTAATGGCGGTAGCGTCTTTTGAGGCGGCTTTTTTGAGGCGAAAGCGGCTCCTGCTGCTGCTTCTTGGTTGGGCCTTGACGTGGCGTCACCGACGGGACGTACACCTGTGATTGATTGAGAGAGGAAGCCGGGAAGGCGACGGACGCACTCGCACGCGCGATTAACGAGGAGGAAGCCGACGGGGCGATACTGCACGCGCGATTAACGAGGAGGAGAGTGTGCGTGGCGGTAAGGCCGGATCTGGATAACCGCGCCGGATTTTTGGGGAAACTTCCCGATTTCGTCGCCCGGCGGTTTCGTCTTATCCTTTGCGATAAATCATAAAGGGCCTCGCCCTCCCCTTCTTACCTCTCTCGCATTCGCTTTTCTTCGCCTCCGTGCCGTTCTTTGAGAGCATAGAATGGGGAAGAAGAAGAAGGCGGCGAGAGACCAAAAAGAGAGGGGAGATTACCGCCGTAGTGGCGTCCTCCGCCAGCGCAATGGTGGTGGTCCCGTCATCCTCCCGGCCGGATCCTCGGGGCGGTCCGGCGTCACCGAGGAGAAGCTGCGATCGCTCGTGGAGGCGGTCTTCTTCGCCCGATCACCGACCCCGACGAGCCGGAGTGGATTGCTCCAGGAACGAAGTCGGAGCGAGGCAGCGCGACGGCTACGTGGTGAGCTTCGTCGTCTTCCTGAGCGAGGCTTGGTCGCCGGTGGATAACTTCATCGCGGGCGCTCCCGCTACTACTATGGCGTGGAGCTGCACAATTTCAGCCCCAACTCCATCGCCCAGCGGCCATCTTCGTCGCCGTCGTGAGGGGTACTGGGATCGCTCCCCACTTTGGGAGTTGTGGCTCCACTTGTTCCGAAGCGACGTTCACCACCAAGCCGGGGAACGAGGGGGGGCTCGGAAGAAGCGGAAGGCGGCGGCTGTACCCTTCACGCGTGCGCCTTAACCGGTG